AAAACCATTTAATTACTAAGTTTAATAATGATTATTTTTAATAATTTTTATAATAAAATTATTTTTTTATTTAAAAATAAATTAAATTGATAATATTTATATTTTAAATTTATTATTTAATTATTATAAATTTAGTAAATAATCTTTTATCAAATGATATTAAAAATTTAATTAAAATTATTATAAAAAATTATTTTAAAATAATATTTTTTTAATAATTTATATCAAAACGCAACCGCAACCGCAACGAACCATTCACTTCTAACCGCACCCACCCGCAATCGCTGCCAACAACAACTTATTACCAATCAGTACTTATCATTCATAATCGCTATCAAACGCCGTCACCCGCAACCGCAACCGCTGCGGTAGAACCAGTCAAACCCTAACGTGATGAGAGTAGTAATTATAGTTAACCTTGATGAAAACCACGTCGGCGTTAGGAACACGCTCGAACATATCGCCTCCAACGTTCTCAACGCCATCAAACTTTAGAGCAGTTTCAACGACATGAGGCAGATCGAAGTTTAAGCCTTTGATCCATGGAAACGCCTTCACCATAACCCCCAGTGCGTCACCTTTCCCGCCACCAACGTCGACCACCGTCGACACCCCCTCGAACACGTCAGCACACGCCCCGGCTACAGCCGGCACCACGCGCCTTGTGTCGCAAGCCATCGCCTCGTTGAACACCTCGCTGTGGATCGGATCCTCTGCACAGTAGCCCCACAGATCCTTCCCATGCTCTGCCTCGAAGGGCTGGGAGCCCTCATCGGCGGAAGCATTGGAGACGACGGCACTCAGCTTCAGCCACGGCGCTAGCATCACGGGGCTGCTCTCCATGAGAATCAAAGGAGCCAGTGATTTGTTGACACGGTTCGAGCCCATCATGAGGCGAGAGAGAGGTGTGCTCAAGTATCCGACAATGCCATCTTTGGTAATAACTTCTTTAAAGATGCCTTGGTGGGAAAGAAACCTCATGATACGGCCGAGGAGCGGCGGAGAGCAAGCGACTGCGGCTGAGAGGTCGGCTAAAGTGACGGGCTGTGCCGGATGGCTCTCGACAGCTTCTGGAATTTTGAGCTCGATGGCACACTTCACTACGGCCATGTCAGTGAATCCGAACACATATCTCCATATGTCCACCGAAGCTCTTGCTTCTTCTTCTTCCATTGTTTTCTCTTTTTCTTTTTTATGGTTTTTCCAACGAGTGGTTGTGGCTTAATAAAGGAGATGAGGTTTGGTGTGTTTGGATGCTGTAACAACCCATAAATTTATAAAATAATAATAATAATATAATAATTCATAATAAAAAAAATTAATAAAAAAAGAGGGAAAGAAAGTTGGTAGCACGTTATAAATTTGTTTAATATAAAAATATAATATAATATTTAATATATATAGTTAGTCAAGGGGAAAAATAAATAAAAAATAGCCGAGTGGTTGGCTCAACTGGTAAGTGGATATATACAAAGAGTATAAAAGGAGTAGGAAGTGTCGTACAGAGTCCGAACGAAAGAGAGAGAGAGAGAAAAATGTATATATATATAATATAAAAAAAAGTAAGTATATAAAAATTATATAATAGATATATTCTTATATATATATATATATATCTAAATTATTGAAAAGTTGAGGAAACAACAGTCAAACAAAAAAGCTAATCGATATAATTTGGATAAGTAATTCGACTTAAATTCTCAAATTTTATTGTCATTATTTCAGGATAATAAACAATGTTTTATATATTGATGATTATAGAAGCATGTTAATGACTAAATTTTGTGACGATTTTAAAGTTGTGGCGTAAAAAAATATGAGTATATATATAGAGACTAACTTTAAAAGGGGTAGAATTGAATGGCTTCGTCAATATATCAGATGGATTTGGATATTATGAAACATATGATTATATACGGATAGTTTTATATACGATTGATTACTGTGACGACAATCTCATTTGTATAGCATAGTGCATACCATCCGAATCGTACGTTATATGAGTTAGGACATGATTGTATTTTGGCTTACGCAATAATTTGCATAGTTAGTTGTAACCACTGATGTGACCACTGACTGACTGGTGACATGTGAGTGAGGCCATCGATGTGAAGGTTGTACAAATGAAGAAAGGAATCTTTTCATTTTTTTTTAGAGTTTCGTCACATCGAGGGAATCGTTACGCCTGCTTTGATAATGAAGGATATTTCTATGAAGAATTTAAATTAGAAATATACAAATGGGTTAAAATTTCGTTTTTGAACTAATATTAAAAATACTGATTAGCTTTTTCAAAAACTAGTTATAAAATTGTCACTAACCTAATTTTTCCAGATTCATATATCAAAGATACCCAAATATTTTCTTACATCAAAATTCTAATAGAATTTTCTATAAAACAAAATAATTTAGCTTATTGATATCCTAAAATTTTCAATATCCAAATTGTGTCCTCTCCTAGAGAAACCCTTGTTAAAAATGAAGTTTGAACAAATAAAAATGCATTAGAAGAAAACGTACATATTTTTTTTATAATCCAGAAGTTCACCGAGTTTTTGACCCAACTATATCTCGCAGAAGATTGAAAAAGTTCAGCTGAATGCCTCTCTCCACGTTTGGGTTTGAACTCAGGATAAGATTATATTGCATGTTCTGTTACGACTAACCCACCCAAATTTGGGTGAAACCGTAAATAATTGGCAATGCAGTTGTGTAGTTAAATTCATCTTATATCATATAGTTTGATATTCCCATGTGAATAAAGTGTTGGAGTTTAATCTTGATTTAGGAAAAAAAAAAACTTGACCAAATATATTGTTTTTCTTTTAAATTTTTATTATAAATAGATGCGTACGTGGGGTTTCATGCAGTTTTTTATTTTTTATAATATTTGGCCCCGGATTTGAACCCTGGTGCTCCTCTTGCAACCAGCCTACCCCATAGTGGTGGTTTCCTGCAATATTGATTAATAATAAAACAACAAACCTATTCTTCTTCTTCTTCCATTCAATACCAAGAATTGTATTATCTTTGGTGTTCTTGAATATTTAAGTGTATGTTTGAATTTTCGGATCCACATTTGAATATTCGTGTTTATTTCGCTTAATCCACGATTCTAAAACGTTTTAAAAGAATTTTTCTTCCACTTGCGGACCACAAATATTTATAAAAGGGGGCAATCATATTAATACGTATATGAATATAGAAAAAATTAATAAAAATATATAATTACAGAAAATTCTATATAAAGATAAATTTAATTTTAGTGGGGGCATTTAAGAATTTTAATATTCATGATAGAAAATTATTCAAAATAGAAAATTATAATATTTATAGATAGAAAATGAAATCATAACATATCTTATTTAATCAATATAAATAGAGAAATAAAATCAAATATAAATATTACATAATCTGGAATTTTCTCGGTATCTCTTAATATTATATACATAGGTCCGGCCCACGTAGAAACACCGATATCTGTTTATGATCAGAATTCTTTAATCTCTGTTTCAATTCGACAAAAGTTCGAGCTCGTGTGTTGGTTTCGTGTTGGTCAAGTTACAACCGTCGCCGACATGAAATTATATGCTCATAAACCTTGACGGTCTTCTCTTGTACGACTTTCCGTTTTAGGTATTATACACTTTTCGCAATCATAAATGATCGAAATCTTTTTCCTTTTTCACGAGCTTCTTCCCCATTTTTTTCACTAATTAAAAAAAAATTCAGCTAAAAAGGCCTAACATATCTTTTTTGTTTTTAACTAAAGGAAGACGAACCATCAAACACTAATATCAGATTTTCAGAAAATTTATGCACAAAAGTATGTTCTGATAGAAACCCGAGGTGGGTTAGTTGAATACTAGTCCCTTTAACTTCATGATTGGAGATTCGAATCTTCCCAATCTCCTCACCTATCACAATCTAAATTGGTTTACATCTCTCTTGTGGTTCGGAGACTTTACACGAGAGCTGGATTTATCCGGTGTATATCCAAAAGGTAATATGGCTGCGGGTTCCCACCTTTTAAAAAAAAAGTATGGTATGATTTATGGCTTATGCACGAAGAAATATACTTTTCAAATAAAAACATGAAGAATGAATCAATCTAGGTAGTTCAACTGGTGAAACGGGGGTGCAAAGCGTCTGTCTCGTCCCGAGTTCGAAACTCAAGCTGGAGATGAGGTATTCACATGGCTTCCTCCGGCCCCGGGATTTATCCGGTTACCAAAAAAAAACATGAAAAATCCTTGTAAAAAAAAGTATGGACCACAGAAATATAGGCAAAAAGTCAAAGTACTCTGTGGTTGTGATTTATGGCTATGTAGACTAAAATAAAAGCAATCAAGACACAAATTTTCGTTTTAGCCTTAAAAATATTTAAATTTTAGTTTTTTGAAAAACTATTTTTTTTAAGAAAATACACACAAATATGCCTAGAAATTAAAATCCTAAGCTCTAAAGATAAAAAAATGAATTTCAATTTAAATAAGATAGGTTATAAAAATTATGGAAACAAGTATTAATTTGCTAATGCTGTATACAAAATAAATACGTTATTTTTCTATAGAGTTTTTATCCAATGAAAAATGTAGACATATTTTATTATTATTATTATATAAAAATAAACTATAGTCTCCAAAAGTAATTTCATCTATGTCAAAAAACCTTTCATTACCCATTTCTCTTCTCCGACCAACCTCCCCTCAAGGGATGAATTACTGATGGATTTGCAGCAATTGGCCAATAAATTGAAAATGGGAGATAAATATGAGTAGGTGATATGCGAATACATTATAATTGATTAAATATAATCATTGGCATGCATAATATATATCAGAACCAGTTGGGTTCCATTTGCTAGATTGAAAACGGTATATAAATCATATTTTTCATCATTTAAAGTAAATGATTTATTTCCAAATATATATTTTGAACTAAATTTAATATAATATCAGAAAAAGCCGGTTTTTCAAAGCATAATTAACGCATTTTATCTTAATTTATGAAAATGACCAACTTTGACTTTTTGACTTTTTCATTTCGAAGACACGTAAACGATGTGCATGTAACCTCCTCTCTCCACGTCTTCATGCTAAGACACATGAGCGATGATGACAGATTGAACATCGTTTATGTCCCTGATTTCGTAACGGGCGAATCCAGCTTCTGTAATAACATAATCCCACTCCTTCAATGTTCGCTCTTTGCCTTTGCTCGTATAAACCATCATCCCGATATCAATCATCAGCCTCACGTACTCTAACTTGTCGTCTTTCTTCTTCCCCAACACAGATTCCACTATCATCACTTTCCCTTTCCCTTTAGGGACTGCGTCTTTGCATTTCCTCAGTAATTTTATGCATTCTTCATCACCCCAGTCGTGTAAAATCCACTGTCACAACAATACAATCATGCATAATGTAACATATTTATATTATATATATATATATATAGGAAATAGCTCTATAATGGCATATATATATTAGATATAGTAAATAAATGGAGTTAAAAATAGACCTTTAGAAAAACTAAATCGGCGTTTGGAACGTGCTTAAACATATCGCCTCCAACGCTTTCAACCCTGTCCAACTTTTGTGCAGTTTCAACGACATGAGGAAGATCAAAGTTGAAGCCTTTGATCCATGGAAACTCCTTCACCAAAACCCCCAGCGCGTCACCTTTCCCACCACCCACGTCAACCACCGTCGACACCCCCTCGAACACGTCAGCACACGCCCGGGCGACAGCAGGGACCACGCGCCTTGTATCACAAGCCATCGTGTCGTTGAAAATCTCGTTGTGGCTCGGATCCTCTGCACCGTAGGCCCATATATCCTTCCCGTAGACTGCCTCGAAGGGCTGAGAGCCCTCGTCGGAGGAGTTAGAGATAAGGGAAGTCAGCTTCAGCCACGGCGCTCGCATGACGGGGTTGTTGTCCATGAGAATAAAAGCAGCCAGTGATTTGTCGTGCGGGTTGGAGATCATCATTCGACGAGAGAGAGGTGTGTTTGAGTATCCGACAAGGCCATCTTTTGTAAGAACTTCTTTGAAGATGCCTTGGTGGACAAGAAACCTCATGATGCGGCCGAGGAGCGGCGGAGAGCAATCGACGGCGGTGGCGAGTTCGGCTAAAGTCACGGGCTGTGACGTATGGCTCTCGACAGCTTCTGGTATCTTGAGTTCGATCGCACACTTCACCACGGTCATTTCAGGGAATCCGTACGCATATCTCCATATGTCGACCGAAGCTCTTGCTTCTTCGTCTTCCATTGTTTTTGTCTTTTTCTTTTTTAGGGTTTTTCCAAAGCGAAATATAATATAAGGGTTGTTGTTTAGTGGAGGAGGAGACAGGGTTGTTTATTACGAGATTATATATATACTCTCCTTACAGGGTTTATAGATATGAAGGAATTTTTTTCTGTGTGATATATGGGGTTTATTAGGAAATTAATTAATTACTGTACTAATATACTGTTTTAAGATATAAAGGAATTTTTCTTTGTGATATATGGGGTTTACGACTTTACGTTACGCTTTGACAAATGAAGAAAGATATTTCTTGGAAATAAAAGTAACCGCCGGTTTGGTAATTTCAGCTAGCTGGTATTAAAGAATTTAAATTATAACACCAAATTTATCATAAAAATATTTTTTTTCAGAAAAATAGAGAATTTTAGTCAAAACCAAATTGGAAGAAAATCTGAATCTAATTAAAACTGGAAAGAAAAATAAAATGAGTATAATTTAAAAAACGCCAGAACATAACTTTAATTGAAATATCCGAAATATCTTTACGAGAGATCTCACTTATAAAATGTTTAAAGTAATTCAGATTTGCATCACAGCCTTATAATTTATTATTTCGATTGGTATTTTTTTGTGTGCTCTAATTGCCACCGTTGACCTCTCGTTTTAGCTTAGAAATATGGACAACGGAAATATTTGCAAAAGTCTTGTCTTTGTGGTTGTGAGTTTAAGTTTTGACTTTCTCGTCTAAAATAAAACAACCAAGAAAAAAAAACAATAATTAAGATAAACAAAAAGATATGATATATGACCTTGAAAAATATTCTTAATTTATTTTTGGAAACTAATATATTTTAAAAAACTCTATAGTTAAATCCTAAGAGGATAAAAATGAATTTAAATTTTAATAATAAAGTTTATCAAAATTATGGAAAAAAGGTATTAATTTACTATAACAATCTTTACACACTGATGGTGCAAGATCCTTCATGTGATGCATCTTCATTTCCGGCATCTCTTTGTACAACTATTTCAGTCTCTTCCGACGATCTTTGGCATTTATGCTTAGGACACCCATCTACATACAAAATTTAGGGCATTCCGACATCTTCTCAGCCCAAATTTACAGTTTCTTCTGGTTCTTCTAATGGCTGTAATATTTGTCCCCTTACTAAACAATCTAGACTTTCTTTTCCTTTTGGTGGTCATCGTTGTTCTACAAATTTTGATGTTATTCATCTTGATGTTTGGAGACCATTTCATGTAGAAAGATATGATGGCTATAAATATTTTTTATCTTAGTTGATGATCACTCTCGTCTCACTTGGGTATACCTTTTATAGTCGAAATCTAATGTTCTTTCTAAATTATCAGATTTCTTGCTTTATGTTCAGACCCAATTCAATAAAACTGTTAAACAAGTTCGTTCGGACAATGCTCCTGAACTTGCTTTCACCAAACTTCTTCAGATCAAAAGCATCCAACATCAATTTTCATGTCTCTATACACCACAACAAAATTCTGTAGTTAAAAGAAAACATCGCAATATCTTAAACGTTGCTCGAGCTTTATTATTTCAGTCTAAGTTACCTCTTCTCTATTAGAGGGAATGCATTAAGACTGCGGTTTATCTTATCCATAGAACCCCTTCTCGACTTCTCGCCAACAAAACACCCTACGAGCTAGGGGTGGGCATTTTTACCCGAGACCCGCGGGTTTCCGGGTACTCTATCTCGCGGGTACTCGAAATTCATTATCCGTGAGATAATGAGATACAGATCAGGTTTCGTGAGATAGAAAACCCGAGTTTCGGGTTCGGGTTCGAGTTTAATAATTTCACCACGGGTTATCTCGCGGGTACTGGGAAATTAGAAAATTACAAAAATACCCTTATTATTTAATACACTTACAAAAATAACCCTAACCCTAATTTACTAACGAAGAGCCCTCCTCTGTCACTTTGTCTCTCTCTCATTTGGGTTTTGCGGCCTCGTTTCTGCAGAAGCAAAATCGATAGCTTCGTCTCTCCAATCTCCACCACCGTGTTCGTCGTTCGCCGTTCACCGTGTTTGTTGTTTGCGTTCGGTCTCTCCTTCTCCGCCTTGCGAGCCTCTTTCTCCTCCTCGCGTGTCTCTGTCCGGTGTGTTTGTTTGCTGTCTTTGTTCGTCATTTGCTTGCTGCCTCTCTTCGCCGTAGATTCAAGTACTTTTGCGTGTTGGTCTCGTCCCTTTCTCTCTCTGTCTCTCTCAATCGGTTCTCTGTTCGTCGTTCGCTTGCTGCCTTCGGTCTCTCCTTTTTCTCTCAATCGATTCTCTGTTCGTTGTTCGCTTCGCTTGCTACACGAGTTCGGGTTCGGGTCTCGCGGATACCCGAACTCGTATCTCGGGTATCCGAATCTCGGGTACCCGGGCTTCGCGAGATAGAGATCGAGACATTTTAATCAAAAACCCGACGAGACCGAGATCAAGATAAGGATACCCTAAAAAATCCGGGTACCCGCCCGTGCCCACCCCTAGTTACAAATAGAGAATGATATGTGTTGAAATAAAAATAGTAAAATAAGGGTATTTTTTATAACGAGGCTATGTTGCATTTTTAAAGTTTAAAACTCAGATTTCTCATCAAATATTAAAAAAAAACAGGTATTTTTCTACGATAGACATAAAGTTCTACCCGGGGCCGGGGCATGTGACGATTGAATAAAATCGTATAATTAATTGTAATTGGTTGCGCAAACGATCAAGTTGTAGAAAAAGCTATTACCATACCAATATATATATATATATACGTGTTATGACGCACCAACTTTATAAAAATATATATAATCAACAGACACAAATATCAGACTTCAAGTCCCAAGTGTGGGAGAAAGACACTGACTGGGAGAGAGGGTGTCGGGACTTTCTCTCTTCCTCTCTTCGTTTGAAGTATTCATACTCGAAAAGATCTATCCATCTCGAAGTCATTGTTTGGATCTGAGTTTTTTTTTTAATATCCTAAGGGTACGAGCGGTTGAGGATACCGGCGTTTTTAGTATAATTCTTGGCGATTGTAGGCGGTTAGTAGTTGATAAATTGTGGTTAACAGCGGATGGTAGGGATTGCAATTAGAGGTGAACGATTAATTGATTATAGTTGCGGTTACGATTTGATACAAATTATATAAAAATATAATTTTAATATATATTTTTAAATAATTTTAATTAATTTTATTATCATTTGATAAAAGAACTATTCACTAAATTTATAAAAAATAATTTAGTAAACAAATTAAAATATAAATTTTGTCAATTTTAATTTATTTTTAAGGGATAATCTCATATTCCCCCACAAATTTTCGAAAAAGTTCCAATTTCCTACACCAATTTTTAATTTGACAAAAAACTACACCGGATTTCAAATATTTCCAAATTCCTACACAAAATCTTAAAATGTGTTGCAATTTCCTCCATATGCGTAAACGGCGTTATGTTCCGTCAATTTTAATGCTGACGTGCCATGCCACGTCATACAAATTTCGCCAAATCAGCACATTTCGCCACGTCATCCAACCACGTCAGAAAATAAATAAAAAATAAAATAAAAATAAAAAATTTCTAGAATTTTTGACTTTCTCGTCTAAAATAAAACAACCAAGAAAAAAAAACAATAATTAAGATAAACAAAAAGATATGATATATGACCTTGAAAAATATTCTTAATTTATTTTTGGAAACTAATATATTTTAAAAAACTCTATAGTTAAATCCTAAGAGGATAAAAATGAATTTAAATTTTAATAATAAAGTTTATCAAAATTATGGAAAAAAGGTATTAATTTACTATAATCCTATATATAAAAAATATCTCATTTTTAAGTGTTTTATCCAATGAAAAATATGGATACATCTTATTATTATATACAATAAACTAAAGTCTAAAAAATAATTCATCTATGCCAAAAACATGTTATCACCCATGGTGCAGGTCACGTATTCGCAATTTTAAAGATATTTCGTTTTCGTCTTTCGTAGATAGAAATATTATCTCTGTTTTTATCTCATAGCAACTATATATCCGTAGATAAAATATTCGTAACTGAGAGACAGATACCCATAATTACTTATATTCGTGTGAACAAAAATTTTAAATCTAACAATAAATCAAATATTCAACAAAATCATAAACTTTTTAATCCAAAAACACATTTAAAATCTGAATTCTTAAATAGAAAAATATACATAGATTCCTAGAAATTTTTTCAAATATACAAATGGATTTTGAAGTTCAAATATCAAAATCTTGAAAATCCAATGTTTATATAAGAAAATCTATAATTTGTTACTAAGCTAACATTGATTTCATTATAATTATAAAGCCATATATATTGTCAATATAAATATGAACATATATAATACTTACCTCTCAAGACTAATCTCATTCGGAATAACCCTTTGTCAAAGTTGAAGATGGATAGTCTGTAAAATTAAACATTTAATTAGCTAAAAACGTGTTGAGTATTAATTAGAAGTATTCAATTTTGAATATTAATTATTGTTCCAGAAAAAAATAGTTGTTCGGAGTTTAGGGTTACGAAATTTATTTTGAATTTATTGTGTATCTAAGTATTTGGATATTTGTGGATAGAGTGCAGGCGATGACGAGAACCAAGGTAAGGGACATACGTATCCGAGGGTGAGATTATATGTGCCAAGGGCCGAACGAAAAATTTAATGATAAGTTGGGTAAAAATTTTAATGATATTTTCAAAATTTTGCAAAATATCATAGATATTTTTTTTTAAAATTTTATATGTATTCGGGTACCCAAGAATATCCGAGAATGTAAACCCGAATATATAGGTAATGTATGGGAATTATATAAAAAATACCCTTACTTTCATATTTTTATTTCAACACATATCTTTCTTTATCTGTGACCATGTGACCCATGTGATCCAAAATATAGTGTTGTATATTTTGATTTTCTTGATTATAACAGGTGATCACACTAATTCATTATATTCAATTAATACATTTTATATCTTACTAATCATTTGATTAAAACATCATAAATCTAACATTATGAGTAATGAGATTAATATGTGATCATATTATATTTGAGGTCACATGGGTGATATGGTCACATATAGAAAAAGGTATG